GAGGCACTTGTAACAGGGCAACCCAAGCAGTACATCGAGGTGGAAGCGATCAAGGCAGTTACTGATTATGCTACCCAGGTGGGAGAGAGCGAGTCTCAGGTGCGTCGCCGCCACATCATTTTCGAGGGCTCAAAGGGCTTGGGTGGAACCTGGCCAACGCTGCATGTGGGGGTGGATGCAGCCGCACCGCCTTCGCCTGATTTTCAGGAGGTGGCTGCGGGCGATCGAGGACAGTACTTTGTGGTCACTTCACGGACCACAGGGCTCAGGCGCTTGCACATGGTCGGATGCTATGTGAAGCCTGAGAATTGTTATCATGTCAAGTTTGTAGAGCATGTAAATCTTGAGGATGTGGACTCGATTTGCAAGGATTGCAGGGCCAGAATGAAGGCTCAGGCCGGTCAGGAGGAATCAGACCCCTCCAGTAGCGATACTGGTAGCGATTCAGTTTGAAAGGAACCTACCTCTTCGTTGTTCATGTGTGAGGCGAAAACTACGCTTGCCCAGTATGCATGTGCAGTTTGGGGCTTTTGCTTGGAGCATCGGGAATCAGGACTCAGGTCTGCTGTCATGTCGTTCGCGCGTGCATTCGGCAGGATTGAGAATCAGGATGCAGGTCTGCTGTCATGTCTTTCGTGCGCGCATTTGGGCAGCTGCCGTCTGGTGAAAATAGCTCAAGCAGGGCTCCCATTGAGCTTCAGGCGCAGACCTCAGGGTGCCACAAGGAATCCCGCAACATTGCCACAGGCCTCAGGGCGGCTGCTGAGCGTTGATATTCACAGCAAAGGCCCGAGTGGGTGCTGTATCCATCTAGGGCCACAGGCTTCAGAGCGGTTGGCGAGCGGTTGGTAGTGGTGCTCTAGGTGCATCCGAAGCCATGGCCTCAGATGACGACAAGCGGCAGTTGATCACTGGAGCAGATAGTGATCTTCAATTCGTCCTCGGTGAGGCGGGGCTATCGCTCGACGCGCAGTACAGGGTGGTGCAGCGGCATACCACGCTGCGCCGGTTCCAGGCGATCGCCGATTCTCGTGCGGAGGCACGAGTCGCTGGAAAGGCCGACTTCGGCTTGGCAGATGACACTGCAGATGGACGTCAGCAGATAGCCGGGGTGGTCGCGGCGTGGGAGTTGGCCCGCGACGTGATCACCAAGGAGACAGAGACTCGAGCAGAAGCTAAGGTGCTCGGGCAGCCCCGCATTTTGCAGGTCACCGAACGCCAGGCCATGATCAAGGCGGTGGTGGCAGTCCATGGCCAGCTGGGGGAATCCGAAACTCCTTCAGCCGAGTACTTGGCGTTGAAGTGCGAGGAGTGCGAAGTCAACGAGCCCCAGGCCTCCACCTTGGATGCCATCACTTCTAAGAAGAGCACTTTGACAACCAGCATTCAGTCTTCGCTTGACGCTTCAGGCCGCATCCATATCACTCAACATAAGGCCAAGAGCGAGCTGCCCACCACTACCGAGGCCTATCGGAAAGTTCTACGAGTGGAGGCCTTCACTTGGTTATGCATGGCCGCACGCTTTAAATCAAAGCAATGGCTTCAGGGTCTTAAGCTCTCGGACTTCGATCATTTCGTCAACTACATCCTCGGTGAGAAAGTGGCTCAGCTGAGTGTTCCTACTTCGCATCAGCCCAATGATGTGCCTACGCTTAGCCCTCCTTGGCATGTGGTTCTAGCTTACGAACATAGGCTTCGCAAGGAGGCCTTTCGCCTGGTGAATGAAGAGGATCAAACTCTTTCTGCGGCGCTTGCAACGGTGA